ATGTTCTCAATTAAATTGAGTAACGAGCAAAAAAAATAAAAAATTGTTGTCCTTTTTTGGCTAGCCGTAAATAACTTACATAGCCCCCTTAGTAACCATTTGGCATTGCTTATTTGGGGTGATAAGTGATTTTTAAAAAAATTTGGGAAGCCCAGCCCGTTTGGTAAACTACGAGAAAATTACTTATTGTTAAAAATTGTTGTGAGAGAAAGCTATAAGGAAAAGCAGCTAATGAGGTGCTTTCATTTTCGGATTATGCGGGAATCAGTTTTGAAGAGGCGCTAGGTTTAATGAGTATGCGGGAATCATTTTATAATCATGCGAGAATTAGTACCAACAACACTTTTAACAAAAAATTTACCAAACACCAAACTGCTTTTTCTCACAGTTGATTTCTCTCACAGCAAATCTGACAACGATTATTTTCACAGCACAGCAATGCCAAACTGAGTATCTATTTTGTAATTTGTATTTGTCTTACAATTTAGACGACCATTGTCTGATTAGTGTAATGTATTATGGCTATCTATCTAAGAGTACACTTGCATAATATTGCATTTGTTCTTACCACACTTGCATTCTTTGTCACTATGACCTCTTGCGCTAATCCCTCACTACTTGATGTTGGTGCAACAATGGCCAAAGTCGGTATGTCATCTCATGACAAATTGCTACCAAAGTGCCCTTCTAAATTCATGGCTTATGGCCTTCTAAATTTTCGGTGTATGAATTGAAGTGCACTGGTGCAGATCTTGACCTCTATAAGCTTAATTACCCTCTTAACCTTATTAACTTACAACGTATGTGGTACCTTATATATATATATAATTTTGTTTTGTTTTTCTCATAGGTTGTTAAACGAACCCTAAAATTAACTGAGTACACCTTATTATCAAACAATTTATTGAATCGCTAATTTACTCTAATATAAAATGACTAAAGAAGATATATTGAATTGTGAAACAAATATAATTTTAATAAATGCCTTGAAAAATCGGAAGTGTAGTTTTGATGTTAGTTTGGCTTTACTCACCATCTCACCATCTCCATCTCCATAAGGCACAAATAGTTCCTTTACTTTGGCTTTGTGTTGGCCATTATAAACTAGTAGTGTGGTTTGATGCTAGTTTTGAGTTGTGTGTTAACTGTAATAAACATGATTTGTTATTTCATACAGTCATGATGAGCTCATACTTAGGAGCTGAGATCACTCAGTATCCGACTATGGTGAGTGACTTTAAATGACACAGTTCTTAGGGCCCATTTGGTAATGTTTTTAGAGAATGTTTTCAAAGAATGAAAACCATAAAACGAATTTGCATTTTCAGGATTCAAGAATGCGTCTGGTAGTTTAATTAGAAAACATATTCAGAAAATAAAAACAATGAAAATGTACTTGGTAGTACAATTTGAGAATAATAATTTGTGAGCTATTTTTTAAGTGTATTTTTGCTAATGTATGTTCTAAAAAAAATTCTAATGTTAAAAATACCTAGAATTATCTTTAATAATAAGTGAAAATGATAAATAAAAAAAGTTGAATTTTGTTGGTTAATTGATAAACTGAATGCATCTAAGAATAATTTTTTATACATACAAATTTTTTTTCCCAAAATAAATACATATTATTGAGTAAAGAACTTCTTGTAGTAGGATATGAGAATAACATAAACAATGAAGTGTCACTTCTCAACTTTTGTTTTTTCATTAATATTTTAATGTTTATTATTAAAAAAAAAACCTAAAGTTATCTGAAATTATGTTTAATTAAAACAAGATTATCAATAAAAAAAAATGTCAGCACACTTTTCCTTCCACTTTCTTCTCGACTTTTCTTCTCCCAACTCACAGACTCCACACCACCCACGTCCCCTCTTTTTTCACTCTTTCATCTCTCTTCATACATCCTCTCCTCCCATGAGTACTGGTGTTGCTTGGGTTTATATAACCCATGTGAAAACAGCCACAAAATCACATTGAAACACATAATTCAAACCACAAAAACTATCACCCTCGATTTGTTCAACTGGTGTGTTGGTCCTTTTTTACCTCAAGTGCTCTTCTTGCCGGACGCGGGGATCAGCTTGCTCGGGAGAGCGTAGAAATTGCTGGACCGACACCAATGCCCCGATTGGATCTTCTTGGCTAGCAGAGAGGGCTCTCTCAATTTTTCAACAAAATTGAAAGTTGAATCAGGTTGACAGGGTCGAGCGAGCACCAGGTTGGGCCTAACTCCTCGATTCCTTATGGCCCTGATCCGGCTATCTACTTCGTAGGCATGCCACTGTTGGGTATGAGAACAACCCAACAGACCTGGTATGAGGGAGTGTAGTGAGGTGATTTTGCAAGTTTCGTACCCTCTTCTGGACCTCTGTTCAAGCCATTATGCTCCAAGGGGGGTACTGGCCTAGATTAGTTCTTTTCTATGCCTCAATCAAGAGGACTTCAACATTCTCTCATTCGTGTGTGTCAAATATGATAAGTACAAGCAATACCTAATCAAGCAAGGAAAAAGACCAAGTTTGCGGTTAATAAGTACCCTATCTGGGTTTATAAACCTAGTTTGAATTCAAACAGACCTCATATTAGGCTAACAGTAGATTCGGGCCCAATAACATAACCTTTGGGCCTGATCAGCTTAACATTCCTTAAGTCAATACAACCCTTTTCGGGTCGAGACCTTCTTTTGGGTCCGAATAAGCCTAAAAACAGCTTGCAGTGATGCAAAATTTAACTAACATATATTGCATGCACATATAAAAGTTATTAAATGATGACAAGGTAGTTAAAACAAATTATGCAGTTCCTGTTTATCTAGTTTTTCACTTGACAGTAAGAGAAAGACGAGGGTTATATATATATATATATATTTGATTGGTTCAAATTATAAAGAACAGAGCAATGGAAGGCTGGAGATTTCTCTATCTAGTTAGATAAGTACATGAATTCAAACTGATTGTTTTTTAAAAGAAAATCATACCATGAGCATGGCAGAGCAACAAAAAGATAAGCACAGGAGTGGTCAATTGGTTATTTGGAAATCATGTAGGTTGAGTTGAAAAGATCTTGAGTTCTTCAAGTATTTTTCAAGACGTTGCGTCTAGTTTAGAGAGAGAGTTCCCTTTTTCTGTGGCGGAAGCTCTTTATTTATAGGCAATGAGAGAGCTTTAAATGATGATGACTAGGAGAGGATATTTGGCTACTATCCAAAGTCAGCTGTTGGCTTGACGATCTGAGTTGGTTCATAGTATGGATGACGGAACGTTTTTGACAAGAACTGCTAGTTCTTCACGTCAATCTTCTAGCTTTAGTCCTTTGTACTCGAGAATCCGGTAGGCAACTTGGTCCTTTTCTGGTTTTGGTGGCTTTCGTACAGCTCGCTTCCTTATTGGGCGAGAGGGTGGTCAAGTCGTAATAAATGATAACAATCTCTTTCAAACCCTCACGTGGGTCTATGTGTAACGGTTACCGATACTTCTTTTAACTTTAGTGTGACATAAAGCTTGGGCTTTTGTTATTGGGCTCGAGACTTTAAACATATTCCATGTTTGACGGCCCTTTAAGGGAAAAGGGCTTTGAGAAAAGACACATATATTTGGGCTGGGGTTTTTTTTTAAAATATTCTTTTGAATAGTGGACCATTTTTGGTTCGTCAACCAAAATTGGGTATAAACACTGTGGTGAAGGCTGTGGCCTTGGAGTCGGAGTGGGTCTCACAAGAGAAGGCAAAGAGAGAAAGGAAGACACAATGGGGTGTTTGATTTTTGGATCTGGGATTTGAGAAAGGTGAGAATGAAACAGAGCATCATGATGTCTTGTTCCAGCTGAAACTATTTCCCCTGTTTTCACTTCCTTATGAAAATGATGAAAACAGCTAAAAGTTGTTTTCTCGTTTTATGAAGAAAGTTGAGATCATTTTCAATTCTTCGTTTTCCGTGTTTCAAACTTAACAGCACCGAACGCATTTTTGGTTGTTTTCATTCTTGGAAAACAGAAACCGAGTTAGAAAAGGATAACGAACGGGTGTGCTGTTTTATCCTTTCATTACTTGAGACATTTGGTTGGTTAGTTGTGATGTTTTTCAGATTTGTTACCTCTGGTGAAATACGGAAACGCTGAGAGTTTTTTGAACCTTTTATATTGGGATTGACCAATACAACTGTAGAGCAGGTTTGTTCAATAAAAACTATTCATCCACCTTATGTGATAGAGTGTATTAGGATGTGTTAGGGGTATTTTTGGTTGTTAAATATGGTATACTTAGTTAATTTTACATTTTGATTTTTATTTTTTTATATAAAAAGTATACTTAAATTATAGGGTGTTAGTTAATTTTAAAGTTTTTTTAACAATGCCGTTAGGCCCCGTTTGGTTCACGAAACGAATTTGAGGGGAAATCATTTCCCATGTCATTTCCCAAGGGATGGGAAAAGGAAGATTCCATTCCTGCGTTTGGTAATGCTGGGAAAGTAATCGAGAGATATCACTTTATTTCCTTTTCCCATGTTTGTTTTGAGTAGGAATGGAAGACAAAGTTTGTATAAATTTTCAATTATACCCATATTAAATCAAATAAAAAAAGAATGCATTTAATGATATATTATCATTCTAAATTGTTAATGGGGACAAAATGGTCATAAAAATGTGTATCTAATGTTGGTTCATTTTCTCGAACTACCCATGAAGAGGGAAAACAAAACCCAAGTTGGGAGGATGGCTTCACTTTCCCCCTACTTTGAGCATGGAGTAGCTTCAGAAATGTAAGGGGTCGACAGGAAGAGCAAGGGAGAGGGGTGGCGCAGGTTTGAGTTGGAGACAGAGGGTTGGAAAATTCTTTAATTTTATTTTAAAAGATTTTTTTAATTTTATTTTAAAAGATAAAAGTTAAGTAAGTCTAGCTATAATAAAGTAATTAATTTCTTTTAAAAATGGACATATGTTGAAATTTGAATGAGATTATCATACGCTGACATGATACTTCCGAACTATTCTATAATTTCTCACGGAGAGTAAAGTTTTCTGAATTCCAAAACAGAAACCATACTAGGCACGTAAATAACAGCGGCAAAACCAATCGCCTTGCCTAGAATAGGAAGACACTGAGATGATGCTTTTGTATGGAGGTTGTAGGAGACTAGAGGTAGATAACCATACTCAGAAACCAAAAGAATCTCATCGCTCTTCCAAAATGCCAAAGGCTTGTGGGTCAAAGTGAGATCAAAAGCATGGTGTTTGGTCCAAGTAGCATTATAATAATTATTGTTCGGCCGATTTCCAAATTCTTCATGCAGGACCCATATTCCAAAGGATTCATCATTGTGTCCCCAACCATGGCATCCAAAGAGAGCAACAGACTTATGATACCACAGCAGAAGTCGTATATTATAAAAAATCGTTGGGCTTAAACCATATACATGCGGCAACAGTATATCGTGAAACACCTCATCCCTCATATCAAACGAAATGATCACATCCCTAACTTCTTCCACCAGCATGTCACCCCAGCCGTCGATCAACTTAGATTGCTCGTGCCCCACCCAGTAACACATCCCTTTTAAGTAGAACTGGAAATCCTCCGGCCAAAGGTTTGTAGTTTCAGTTTCCAGAGAGCCCGTCGCGATCTCTCTCCAAGTATCCGTCCCCAAACTGTACACTACTGGTTTTGGCGTATAAATTATAAGGTCATTTCCACCATCACCATATGTTTCATAGCCAGGATATCCAATGTCAACAACTTTGTAATCATTGGTTTTAGGATCATAGCCAAATCCCAGGGCCCGTGACATGTCACGCATTGATGAACCAATGTCGACATCTAGGTACGGCTCCGGAGGCAGTAGCTTGGGTGCCTCATGAATTGCTGGGTTCCATAACAACACCTCTGCAGCATTAAGTTGGACACAAATGATACCGTCACAGTGGCCTACAATACGAAATGTGTTTTCTTCGCCAAACAGCGGCTGCTTTAGGTTGGTCATGTCCATGTCCTCGAAACTAGAAAGAAACCTAAGCGGATCACTATTATCACAATGACAATTATCAGAATTAGCATTGCAGCAGTAGGAGCAAAAATTAAGGACTGAGAATACAACAGATTTGGTGTCCTGGTCTTCGATACCATGAATGATGTGCTTCCGGGGCTCGGTGTGGGGTCGGCTCTCGCATACCATATCATCCACTAATAATCGCCTCAAAAGGACTGTACAAGTGGAGGAGGAGGACAAAATATTATTGTCGGGATCAGAATTGTGTTGCACGTGCTTCACTACAAACTCCGGGCTGCTGATGAGAGCACACCACCATTTAGAGACGCACTTGAACCTCGTCAAAGTTTTTGGAAGCAAACATGATAGAATTTGCAGTAAAATCTCGTTTCCCATTCCCATTTTAAAAGAACACGAAAACGTTTCTGCCATACGCATAGACATTCATCACACAACACAAACAATTAATATACATATATACAGAGAGCTTCTGGGGGTGTTGGCCAAAGGCCCTCCGATGCCTAAATTAGTTCAATTGATTTAGGGAAAAAACCAATAGCTAAATAGGGTACGGAGTTTATATGTGTTTTTGGGATAAACAGGGTGGCCGGAGCCTTATGTAAAAGAGGGAGAAAAAGGAGGTGGCTAGGGTTTCTGAGAGATAATTTCTGCAGAGTTTCAATAGGAGTTTAGACGTACCTTCACCCTTGTGTGTAGCTAGGTATTTATAGGAGTCTCGGGAGCTAGGGTTTCGGAGGAATAATTCCGTAGATGGAAGGGAATTATTCCTCCCCAATTTGGCGAGATTTGACTAATTAGGGATTTGATTTATTCGATTTAAATCAAATCCCTAATCAGGATAGCAATCAAATCAATACCTAATTTAATTAGGTAACTCCTCCATCAATTGAGAATATTCGTAGGAATCAAATCAATCCTCAACCTAATTAGGTAACATTCTATTTAATTGGGTAACCCCCAATTAAATTGAATAATTCCTAATTAGGTCAAATAATCCCCAAATGGAAGGAATTATTTGACCTAGGTTTACGAATTAATTAGGTTCCCACACTTATATTCCTGATACGGGTGTGGGTGGAATTGGTGCGGTCATTAGAAATGACAAAGGAGAAGTGATGGTGGGTATGGCCCTTCCCCTTGACACTGGCACCTACCCCAAACATGCCGAGATCATGGCACTTCAATTCGGGTTGAACTTTGCTTGGGATGCAGGCTTCTCTTCTATCCTGGTTGAGTCTGATTCACAAGCAGTGGTTAACTATTGGGGATTTGCTGCCTAATTGTTTAATAATTTTGGAGATCAAAGTTTCTTTGTTTTCATTATGATTTTTTATTTTTGACCCTTCCTTTTTATGGTAATTGAGACCAAAAGAAATGACAGCTTTCCATGAGCTTTCAGGAATGCAGAAAATTAAGATAGGAAGAGGAGCAGGCATCCAACTTTGCAAGTAAAAGTTATTGCATATTTCTCCTATCAATGAATATGTACCGCTTATTTAGCTTTCCATGAGTAGGTGGAAGATAATTTTTATTTTTATTTTTTATATATCAAATGCAATGCGGGGTAGGAAGAGGCTTTTAAATTTAGTTATTGTTTCTCCATCAGAAGAGTTTTTGATCAACAGCTCTCGCAAAGTAGAAAAAACTTGTGCAGCCAAGCCACTCATTGAGGGAGATGACAATGGTCAGAGATGGAGCCTTGCATTTTGTCCAACTCAGTGGCTAGCATGTTCTAAATGGTAACGCACATTCAATGCAATTGAAAGCCTACACTGGTCCCCTCCAATGCTCCAAATTAAACAACCCCCAACTCCAAATCTAACACACAGTAAAGCAAATTTTTAAGCACCCTTGTGGTTTAATTTTTCCTGTCATTTCCTGCAGCTGTCACGTACTTCTCCCATTGCTTTGCTCAGCAATGCCATGGAGTTCAATTCTGAAAAAAACCTCTGGAGCTTCATGGATGAGGAAAGAAAGAGCATCAAGTTGCCTCGGAGACTTTCTTTTGGTGGTGACCAGCAACAAAGTTCATCAGAAACCAACAACATTCATTCAGCTTCTTCAGCAAGACCTTCTGTTGCTGCTTCTGAACCATCAATTCCTACACGGCCTATGAGCCCCGGGACACCATGGACACTATCCCCAGTGCGCACCTCTCCCTCCCAACCCCTTCTTTACCATTGCATTGCCTCCCTCCACCGCCACGAAGGTAACATTTTCTCCATCACACTATCAAAAGATTTTATATTCACAGGCTCAGAAAGTAGCCGGATTCATGCTTGGAAGCAGCCGGATTGCACTGAAATTGGTTACATAAAGGCTGCTTCAGGTCAAGTTCGAGCCATCTTGTCCTCGGGGAAAATGCTATTCACCACACATGGTGACTGCAAAGTTCGCATATGGGATGCATCCACTGCAGAGAATTTTAGGCCGAAAAAGATCACAACTCTGCCTCAAAGAAATCGATTTTTGTTCTTTTCAAGAAAGAGCAGCCAGCAGCACAGTGATCACATCTCTTGCCTAGCTTACAACAAGGAAGACAAGCTGTTGTACACAGGCTCGTGGGACAAAACAGTCAAAGCTTGGAAGATCAACGAGAGGTGTTGTGTGGATTCATTTGTGGCTCATGAAGGTCATGTAAATGGGATTGTCATCAACCAAGAAGATGGTTGTGTTTTCACTTGCTCCTCAGATGGCTCAGTCAAAATCTGGAGAAGGGTGTTTGGTGAAAGTTCTCACATTCTGACCATGACTCTCAAGTTCCAGCTTTCACCGGTGAACGCTTTGGCATTGAGCTCGTCACCGAACACCACCCTCCTCTACTCTGGCTCATCAGATGGGCTTATAAACTTTTGGGAGAAGGAGAAGATGTCTGGGAGGTACAACCATGGAGGGTTTCTGCAAGGTCATCATTTTGCTGTTCTTTGCTTGGTAGCCTTAGGAGAATTAGTCTTCAGTGGCTCTGAGGATGCAACCATAAGGGTTTGGAGGAGAGAGGAAGGGAATTGCTTCCATTCATGCATTTCTGTCATTGAAGGCCATCATGGGCCAGTAAGATGCTTAGCAGTTTCTTTGGAAACAGAGAATGTGGTGGGGGTGAAGGGTTTGTTGGTTTATAGTGCAAGCTTGGACCAAACTTTTAAGGTATGGAGGGTCAAAGTTTTTCCCACAGAGAAGGTAAACATGGATGGGTCTGCCAAAGACCCACAAAGAGAGATTGTGGAGTGTGAGACAAGTCCAGTGCTGTCACCTTCATGGGTGGAGAAAAAGCTTCTAGGCAACTATTTCCAGTAGGAGGCAGGACAAGGACATGTAAGCTTTGATCTCTTGCTTAATTTGTTGAGGTTTCTTTAAAAAAAAAAGAAAAAGAAAAAAAGATTTATGTTGCCCATCTGCAAACTCATTTTTTTATTATATATATATAGAAAAATCTAGAAAACCAAGAGTTGAGATATACCCTTTTTTTTAAAAATCCAAAAGAAAAAAAGGGGAAGTTTTCTAGTAGGCTTATATAACAATCATTTTTGTGACATATTGAACCAAGCTAAGAGTCTACATCTTTATTGAATTACAGCTACCCAGCCCAGAATTAGGTTCACCAGACCAGTATCAATGGTTCTAGATTGATTTCTGTTGGGTGTTAATGACTTGTGGTATGGTATGACATAAATTTTTGAACCAGTCTTAAGATTTGAGAACTGAGGTCCCTCTATCTTTAATAATTCATCATTTCATTATCTGTAGAACTCCAGAACTGCAAATCCAAGGGTTGGAGGTTACTTCGCAAATTTTATTTCAATGAGCATTGCATTTCCTTTGGTTTTACACTGTCAACCATTTCATTAGAAAATTTATTAGAATGTTTCAATTTACTTCAATGGGCATGAATAATGGGTTGGTATTCAATTAAAATGAACAAGACTGAGATATGTATGCTTTGTAAGTGTAATTGTGAGCATTTGCAAAGAAAAACATATAAGAGAACCAAGCACAACGCTGGTGAAAATTTATTGAAGCTTTCATTGTCAAGAATATGGATATTGGGGTTGTTTTTTTTTTTTCTCTGGCCCTGCAATGTGGTATCCAGTGCAGTTTTTCTCTTGTCTTTTGTTGTTTTTTATTCAGAGGGAAAATGGAAGGGTCGAAATATTACCAGGGAATCCGGGTAGGTTTGAACATTCATAACTGTCAGGCTGGCAGGGAACAAAAGGTCCAGGTTTGCAATAATCATCTCATCAGATGGCATGGGTATATAGTTGAGCTTACACTGTCCTTCAGACTTCAGAGGTCCCCATGGTCCAAGGACGGTTGTGAAAGTTGACACAGTGGAATTTAAAGATGAACAAAGATATCTGCTCCGAGCCAAAAGGAAAAAAAAATTCTTTGGTGATACGGAGCAGCATAGAAGAAACTCTAGGTGTAGTCATTGTACATGAATCAGAGGAGATTGAATTTATTCCAAAGCTTACTTCCTATTATACATATCGTTTCCTACCTGAGATAAGAAAACGTACATCTTGAGTGTCCGTAAATCAGTCTATTCGCATTTTTAAGGGAAAGGTACAGAAGCACAACAATGGTAATATCGATTTGCGAAAGATGAGCTTCACGGATAAGATACTCTCCCCATCCCTCATATCCATACTGCTTGGAAATGCCAGGGGCGTCAAAGGATTGATCCTTTCTTGTTCGTTGCTTCCTGCATATCGCATCTCATATATCACCCACAAGCCAAAGAAACTTTAAAACGACAAGCACTTAAGGGTCCAGTAAAGCATAAAGTTGGTTCCAAACTGAATCTCATGGAGAAAAAATTCTCCTTAGAATCAACGTTTCCTTGCCCTCCTTCCTTGAGTGTGGCGAAAATGCATAATAACGTAGCACCTAGTATTGGAATCAATCTAATTTTAGAGGTTAAGTTTTTGGGAAAAAAGAAAAACCTATCAAAACTATTTCATTAGTTTCTCTTTGCAAAGAATTAATCCTTGATCAGTCGACCAACCAACAAAATGCTTTTATGAAACCACAACCAAGCAGGGTAACTTTCACTATGCAGTATGCAAAAATAACATAGGGCACTTTAGAAATACCAAAACACACAGTTTCATTTGCAGAGTAAAGATATAATCATGGCATCAGAGTGAATTTCTTATGCATAGTGATATTTCCATCTACTGATTTAAACCCCCATCCCCCCACCACACCCCCCAAAAAATAAAAAAAAATAAAAGGAACTAACCAATAAGTAATTCAATGGCTCCAATGCAGCATAAGTACTTGTAATTTTCAGAACTCGATCCACTCTGCAATTTGCAAATATAGGGATTGAAGGTTCATTTCTTTAACTCTCCTCCAAAATAATAAATATATCCTTGCAGAAAAAACAATCAAAAGTGGTTTCTTTTTCCACGAAACGAAACAAAATTCTACAGCTGAATTAGATATATAGAAGACAAACATAAGAACCCAACAAAGAACTCAAAGAAGGGTGTGCGTAAGGTACCTGAAGCTAACATTAGCGGTTATGTGATGTCTCTGAAGAAGGAGAGGTTCGATTCGATGGCGGCAGAGGTGGATTGCAGAGTTCAGTTCTTCTAATTCTATGACAAATAGCATCAAATAAAGTTCAATTTATATTTTGTCACGAGATTATTTATGAGTAACTCACTTTTGGAAGCACACACCGAATCAGCTATGTTAATACTGTTGTGAAAATGGACAAAGACTTTCACTCACTCTCCCTAATGATCTTGTTGTTGATGGACTTTGTGACACACACAATTATGGATGAATCACACACACACACACTTGAGAAACCAACCAAGCACAAAATGACACAAGTATTTTAGAGGTTCAGCAATTGTCTACATGCTCTTGGTGATCCCCTTGAGAAATTCACTAATGAAAGAATAAGTTACAACTTTGGTTTACAAAGAAACCCACTTAGAACTCTATTCTCTCCCAAGCTCTCTTTTCTCTCTCACCCCTTGCTCAACACCTTGTGTTAATGTATGAATTTTGATTAATTCTTTTGGCTTCCCTTGACAATTGTGTAATAGGACTTTTATATGTATTTATCAAGCTCAAGGTTAGATTAAGATTAGCATCTCTAAGTGTTCTTAACTCTCATCTATCCTATGGAGGGTCAAGCAATTTGACAAAGGTAAAATCATGCATTGCATATCATGCATTAAAACTGTTTTCATAAATTATGACTAGTCATCCTTGCTATGTAGGATTTCCAGCTGGTTAACCATCTGTTTTGTCATATTCTCTTTTCTCTCTCTGCTGCCATGTGTCAGTTTGACCTAAGGGATTCTTTTGTCTGTAAAGGCTAGTGAATTCCTCATTTTGGAAGCCGTCT